AGGAAGGAAGGAAGGAAGGAAGGAAGGAAGGAAGGAAGGAAGGAAGGAAGGAAGGAAGGAAGGAAGGAAGGAAGATCTCCGATGTTCTCTGCCAGCTTCTCAGCTATATTTAACCTCTAAATCATTTTTGTGGCTCTAGAACTCTTTAATTTTGGTGGAAAAACTAACGAAATGCATATCCATTTTTAGTGGTTTTATGGGGTTTTTTCGTTTGCGTTCTGCCCAGAGTCCACTGGAAATAGGTGGCCAATAAGTTTAAATAACAATAATAGACTAAGAATAATTTGTGTAATCATTCCACCTCTATAAAAATTTCCCACAAAATGTTAATTGCCAGAAAATATTTGCCTACCTGGTGCATCACAATATTGCGTGAAATTTGGTTAATAATTTATTAAATGTAGTTAATAACAAAAAAGTTGTTATATCATGCTATGTTTATGATAAACCAAATATTCATTTTCCTGCTTCTAAAGTGAGCCTATTCCTCCTTTTGCTACTGTGTGTCATGTTTAATTTTTTAGCTGTTGCCAGAATTAATTTGATTTTCTGCTTCACCTCATTGCCTGATTCTGATCGTTAAGTTAATCAGCAGCACAGTATGGATCATAGTTATCCAAGGAAGAGTCCAGGTTTTTGATCTTCCAATTGTCAGTAATCAGATTTGTAATCTTTCAGTTGTGATAAGTCAATGGACCCAAATTATTTTTATGGCTCCTCTTTAGAATCGGCCTAAAAAGAATGAATGTTTCCTTCCACGTGATGCAGAGATCATAGATGGCTGAGTTGGTGCAAGTGCTCATTTTGCTATCACTACATGGGTCAGGAAATGAATTTGTCCATAGATATTGAAGCACTTAAGGCCTCTTCTCACTTTATTATTTTACAGATTGAAGGCCTCTCTCACTAATCACAGGAAAGCAGTTTATTTTCAAACCCAATCTACAACCAGCTGTTTCCATATTTTTGGAGCACTTACTCTTTCTCCAATAAGACGCACATAAGAATAATTTTCCAGACAATATTTTCATTAAGAGTTGTGTTTTGCAGGAGGATCCCATTTAAAAAACATATTTTTTAACGGCAAAGGGGCATTTAACTCAAGCTAATAGGTTACCTTGCATTTGAGTTCCAGCAATGTCAAACACTGAAGGGACGCAGTGGCTCAGTGGCTAAGATGCTGAGCTTGACGATCAGAAGGTCGGCAGTTCAGTGGTTCAAATCCCTAGCACCGCGTAATGGAGTGAGCTCCCTTTACTTGTCCCAGCTTCTGCCAACCGAGCAGTTTGAAAGCATGTAAAAATGCAAGTAGAAAAATAGGGACCCCCTTTGGTGGGAAGGGAACAGTGCTCCATGCACCTTCGATGTTTAGTCATGGCCACATGACCATGGAAACGTCTTTGGACAGTGCTGGCTCTTTGGCTTTGAAACGGAAATGAGCACTGCCTCTTAGAGACAGGAACAACTAGCACATATGTGTGAAAGGAACCTTTACCTTTACTTTAATGTCAAACTGTCATAATGGTGTGCAGTGCTGAAGAAGGCGCTGGTTCTCACCAGATCTGGAATGACTAAGAAATAGCATTTTAGGACCGTTCATATCAGGTGTACATCTGCAGAAATTAGTTAATATGACATGGAAACCTGCCTTGCAGAAATTCCTTGGGATGAGAGCAAGGAAGTTGGGTTTCCTCGCCGCAGATTCAGCCTCTCCAATTTAATGATGTTGCTGTTCAAATTGAATTGGAACTTCTAGGGAGAAGAATCTTCTCCAGGTGGGATGTTCTTCTTGTTGTCATGGGAGTATCCCTTAAGGTCCCTTATTCATTGAATGCACCAAACATTAGCATACTATTCCTAGCATAAAGTTGGTGGCACAGTGGTTAAATGCAGCACTGCAGGCTACTGCTAGATCAGCAGTTCAGCGGTTCAAATCTCACCGGCTCAGGGTTGACTCAGCCTTCCATCCTTCCGAGGTGGGTGAAATGAGGACCCAGATTGTTGGGGGCGATATGCTGACTCTCTGTAAACCGCTTAGAGAGGCCTGGAAGGCCTATGAAGCGGTATATAAGTCTACTGCTATTGCTATTGTGTGTGTATGTGTGTGTTTCTCTTTGAAATCATTATGATGTGCTCGTGCAGGTCTGAACCTCCTTCTAATGTCAGGTGAAATAGCAAACTGGCCCCATGATTGAAGGGGTTTCCTTCGGGCTTCAGGATATTTCTGCTTTTTTCTTTCTCACATTATAAATCAAGTGATGGAACTGAATGGAATAAAACCTGTGTGAAGTCTCACTTGAGGAGACCACAGAAGTTGTCGTCCTTTTCAGCTGTGGTCCTATATACTGAAATACTCTGAAATAAACCTGAATTTGGCTTCTAGTTTTAAGAACACAAATATAATTTCACTGTTAACTTCCATCTTCTGAAATCATTGAAAGTATTTGCATAGTAAACCTATACTCCCAAGAGTCTTTTAGAATGCATACTGAAAGAACAGGGAGCTCATAACTCTATTATTGGTGAAAATATACAAATACAAAGCAACACAAGAGCGTCTTTCCACTCTAATTCATAAACAGTGCGGGTTCTATTTTATTAGGAGAATAGATGCACCATGCGCTTAAAGAAAGTTGCCACCCAAAAAAAGACCAAGGCTTTCTTTCTTCCATTATCTCTTTTATGTAAAAAAACACAACATTTTTATCAAGTGATCTATTGTTGTTAAGCACTAAACCTTGAGTTTGTTGCTGAAATCGGTTCTCTACAGCCTGTGTACACCTGTTGTTATTTTTTTTTAAAGAACCTCTTTATCATCCAGCTAGCAGAAAGATGACAAAGTCTGCAATCTTGCAGGCATGGAAATAAGTCTCATTAATCTCAGCGGAGCTTATTTCTGAGCATGCTACTCAACAGTATTTCTTATATAGGATTGTGCTACTATTTATAGCTCAGGAGTAATGTGTAATTAGGTGACTGAATAAGAGAGAGTTCTTAGAACCCTCTGCATGACTGGGTAAATTGGGTGGAAATTGGGTGTCTTGGTTCGGTGAAAAGTGATACTGAACCACATATAGTCTTTATGCACAAACTTTTAAGTTTGGTTGGATGATTACAGCTTTATAATGGAAATGCTGGTTTGCTTCTCTTTGAGTGATTTGCAACTTCCTGTTTTAGATCAGGTCTCCTCAACACCAGATTTGTATATTTGAGAGAATACATGTTGGAAATCATAATATTAATTAATGATTGAGAACACCAGGAAGCCCCACTGGGTAATGATACCTATTCTGTAAAACATTTTGCATTGATTCTAGTTCAAAAGGCAATAAAACAGAAGGTTAATAAGAATTTCCCTCGTGGCTGTTCAATGTTAATTTCAGGTATATTGCCAAACATTTTCATTTCTTCTACAGTTTTTATGGAAGGAAGTATATTATTTTTCAAAGGAAACAGTAAATTGCATCAAAGCATTTCCCCCCCCCCCCCTTTTGACTAGTGATCTGGTGGAGGGTATAATAACACATGTGTTAATTCTTTCTGAACAGTGTTTATGGCTGTCCTTTGGCCAAAAAAAGAAAGACGCAAGAGAGGCAGCCCCAAGAACCTGCCCCCAAAAGAAAACCATTTGTGGTTAAAACGGACAACTCCTCCGTAGATGAATGCTATGAAACAGACGGGACCGAAGAAATGGACGATAAAGAAGAGGACGAGGAAGAGGAGGAGGAGGAGGAGGAAGAGGACTACTCTGATGATAACGAAGAACAAGGTGATGAGGAAGAGGAGGATGAAGAAGTAGATAGGGAAGAAGAGGAGGAAGAGGAGGAGGAGGAAGAAGAAGCAGATGAAGTTGAGGAGGAAGAAGAAGAGGAGGAGGAGGAAGAAGAGGAAGAGGAAGAAGAAAGTGGTAATGATCAGTGTATTAATAAAAAACGCTCCACGTGCATTTTGTGCTAATCTTCCAGTATGGAATGGTGAGATTTAACAGTGTACCTTTCATTAAGACTAATAGGAAGCATATTTGTGCTTAATCTCTCTGCTCCATGCTGACAACCATTAGCACTGTCTTCTCTTCATAACAACCTGAGACTCCTGCCTTAGAAACAGCTCTTGGATCAGCTTTCAGAGTGAATAGCTTAGTGATGAGGCTTGCCAAACCTTCCTGCAGAGATGGGTGACTATGCTGATGTCTGTAGTGATCCATTCCAGAACAACAACCAAAGAGATGTGGAAGTAAATGATTACATATAGACATACCTATATTCATTATTTATATAGGCAACTGTTTGCTACAGTTGTCTTCTGTAAAGCAATTATTTGCTTCTCATCAGTGTATGTTCCCATGTCTGCAGGTACTCTTGGCATTGCAATAGGAAACTTCCCTTTGGGAAATTTGAACAAACAGCTTTGCTTAGAGAAGGGACCCACATTAAATATATTTTGGTTCTTTGAGACTTGGATGTTGTGTACTTTAGCTGACTTAAAAAATGAAGGAGATCGATATACGTAGAAACCCTATTTTAAAACTTTTACGTATGGACTTCGTGACAAATAAAGAGACATTCATTAGTTGTTAAGCTAATATATTGCCACTGCAATTAAGCCAGGGGCTTTTAAAAAAAATGTTTTCATGTTATTATGGATTCTAAAGGTAACTAGTGTTTTCAAACTGAGCAAACACTAGTTTCTGACTGTTTAACTTAAGAAACCCTACAATAACCAGATCATGAGATAATGCCATGAAAATTAACATACATGCAAAAATTAATGAGCTATCTAAAAAATATTTTGTTCCCATTTTCAGGGAACACGTTTTTGATTGGGTAGATTCACCTTTCTAACCAATAAAAATATAAGAAAAGTTTCAGCACTCCCCAGTCGGATTCCGCTTAGGAGACAGGTATGAAAGTTGTCTGATTTCTGTTTCCGTAGAATTATATTAGGCAAGAACTAGAAAAAAAGACAAAGATGCTTTATTAGAATAAAAGCAAAAGTCATTCACTGCCTTTCTCTAAATTCTGGGGAAGAAAGAGGATAATGAAGCTTTTTGCCAAATACTAAGAAAGGGGTATTTTATATTCTGTTAATTTTAGACTATATGAAAAGGAGGGATGACTTTGATCATTTATCAAAGGTTATCTATTCAATTAGGATAATACAGCTATTTTTCAATAAGTTGGGGTTATGCATTCTTAGCTATAGTATAATGCCAATCAATTGCAATGAGGTTTACTTCTGAGCTGACATGCACGTAAGATTACACTGGGTAGGAAAGTGCAGTGCTAACATTCATTTGCATACAGATAAACGTAACTATGTTAGGCATGCTACAAAACTCTTTTCCCAAGTCCCTCTACACTCGATTCTCTTTTGAATATTCATGAATTCAATATAAAGGCATGGTTTTTTTTATTTAAAAAATATGTAAATGAATGCCACTAAAGATATTTGAGGACTTCCAGAGAGCAGACACCTGCCTAAGGCATTCTCAATTGTACCTGTGTACAGAACAGGGCTGGGTTCCTGCCAGTTCTAAGCTCTTCTATAGAAGAGGTTCCAGCTCCCTCCACCTGCCCGTCCACACATCATCAAGATGAAGAGCGAGAGGAGGAATTCTGGGAGTTGAAGTCCACAAGTCTTAAAGCTGTCAAGTTTGAACACCCCTGGGNAGAATTCCCCAGCCAGCATTCGCTGGCTGGGGAATTCTGGGAGTTGAAGTCCGGACATCTTCAAGTAGCCAAGGTTGAGAAACACTGACCTAGAGGCTGTAAGATTCTGTGTTCAAGTCTGAGTGACTGTGTGTTTAGGGTACCCCACGCCAATCTTGAGATTTTCTAACTTTCATTTTTAATTCCATCTTCCCAGACATAATTGGTGTATAATGTTCACTTTTATAAGCCCCCAGAGTTACTGAGATTCCATTTATATGCAGTGGTGGGATACAACTGGAGTAACAACCAGTTGCTGAGCATGTGCTTCGCCATAATGAAGGCCTCCAGAGTAACCATGTACTCCTTTCAGATAATTTCAGCAAATTGGACTGTATGTTTGCCACAGAGCATGTTGGTTAATCTGGATATGGAGAGTATTTTGGTGTGGTTCTCTTTGCTGTGGTCAGATTATTTCCTGGTCCAATTGAGACTGATTGCCAGGATTGCTAAGATAAATGAATTAATTAAAATGATTTACCTCTGGTGCCTAATGGAGCTGAATGAATTCCAATAATTTCTGCAATAAAACTTTCTTCATTTCAATGTAATAATTTACAGCATTTAAAAAGTCTTGAGTAATTCTAAATTACTCAAAAATCTTCAAAGCATACTACTTCTATATTACTTGATGAGAAGTCCTACTTTGGGCTTGAAACTGGATGTTGAGTGAATTCTTCCACTTAGCCATTTGCATTCTTGGATCCTAAAAACACACACACACACACACACACACACACACACACACACACACACGTATTAAGAAAACCAAAATTGATATTTCCCAATTGCAACATAATTGGGATGCATTCAGTTTTTCAATTGACATGAGTAAAATGAACATATATTTGATGCTATAAAGCTAGTTAAAATATAATGATTAGATTCGCCTTGCTCATAACTAGCAACATCTGTTTTGAAATATTTATGGTTAACACTAAGATTGTCATAGAATTCTTAAGGAAAAATTAGTGAATAGCAGGTGTGTCACGAAAGAGTAAATTCCTCACTTTAGATCTGCTCTTCTTGCTTCTTCAAGTGAACTTTGGGAGAAATAAATTATTCTAACAGCCGAATCTAAGAGCATGCAGAGATTATATTTCTCTGTGTATCATTATTTTCTGGAAAATATAGTGCAACACAGATTGATTGAAAATGGTCTTTGAATACTGACAGCAAATTGAGAAGGGTATGAAATCATGCTGAGCTTTATTTCATTTTCTTGTGAAATGCAGGCAGGCAAACATGATGAAGAAACTCACAAACTAAAGGAGAGGAATATACGATAGAATTTGTAATCAATGTAATTACAGATAATGCCTAAGGAACAATGAACAATTTCCCATTGTATCTCACCTCTGATTCTTATGAAATAGTTTAGATTTGTGAAGATTCAAACTTCTCCTTCAGAGACACGTGGTTGACACAAATCTTACAGGAAACCTGGACTAGTCAAATGCACTTTTCATCATTCAAGGCCTGGGTTAACAGCTAAGAACCAGTCAACCAGGACTATAAATCAAGACATCCTTAGGCAAGAATAAGGTCAAAGGTAAGAGTGCATTTCTAGCAACAGGCCCAGGCTGTGGTTACTCCTGTCTGTCCCCTTCAGCTTAGACATGAACCTTAGTCGAATTCCATTACTTGGAAAGATTTAGGTACAATTTGGAGCAGAATACATAGTGGATTGAAACCAGTTCAGGGGTGAAATTCAGCAGGTTCTGACAGGTTCTGGAGAATCGGTAGTGGAAATTTTGAGTAGTTCGGAGATCCGACAGATACCACCTCTGGCTGGTCCCAGAGTGGGGTGGGAATGGAGATTTTGCAATATCCTTCCCCTGCCACATCCACAAAGTCACACCCACAGAACCAGTAGTAAAAAAATATTGAATTTCACTACTGAACCAATCACAGATTCAAATTAAAAGATACAAACCTGAGCTTGATAGAAGAATACAATGAAAATTTTCATTCTGAGTCTGAATCTTCTCCCCAAAATTTGAAGTAGGAAGAGTTTCTAGCATTCACTCCTTTCCCCCCCCCCTTCCCAGGCTCTTTCTCACTGAAACCTCTCATTAAAAAAAAAATGTTTGTGGTGTTGCCACCAGGGTTTTAAAGACTGTTATTAGCACTGTAACAAATACCTCATAGTCTCCTGCTTGCTTATCTTATAGTAGATTTCTGCAGGAAATCTCAGCTGATAGTGAATTTCATTGCTCATTATTTCAGTGAATAATATATCAAAGAATAACTTTCAGTAACAGTAACAAGAGTTGGAAGGGACCTTGGAGATCATCTAGTCCAGTGGTCTCCAACCTTGGTAACTTTAAGACCTGTGGACTTCAACTCCCAGAGTTCCTCAGCCAGCAAAGCTGGCTGAGGAACTCTGGGAATTGAAGTCCACAAGTCTTAAAGTTACCAAGGTTGGAGACCACTGATCTAGTCCAACCCCCTGCTCACGTAGATGACCTGTACTAGGGATTCGAACCGCCAAACTGCTGACCTTTCTGATTGACAAGCTCAGTGTCTTGGCCACTGAGCCACTCTAGGTGTTTCTGTTAAATTATTTATTTTAATCTTACTGTGCTTACCTATAATTAGGATGTTGTAATCATGCCCCAAAGCTTAAGCCTTCCGCCTTCCCTCTTTCCACATCCATTCCGTGTTCCTTCTTTGTAGACCCAACCCTGGGTTCAACACTTTGTCTGAAGGGGAAGCCGGGTATTTAAAGATAAAAATGTGCCACAATTTGATAAAAACAAACTACAAGGAACCAATGCAACGTCCTAATTATAGGTAAGCACAGTAAGATTAAAATAAATAATTTAACAGAAACACCTAG